TAAACTAACGTCCACTCACAGTTTACATTCTCAACACTACAGCCGCTAGGGGTGCACGATATTGACAAAAAGGTCACATGAAATTTGTTTCGAGACCGCAATATTTAAAAAATATTAACAAGTAGGCCTGAAAAAACGCCCCGTGAAACGCACTCGTGACGTACTTCCATCTAATCGCTCGAACCGCTTAGGGAGGTGGTCTGGGCCACGTTACAGTTGAAACTGGACAAATGTAAATGCACCTCGTTATTTAATCCACCACATACGTAACATGTACTCCTTCCAAAAACCACAACGTACCGCGTGGATGTCGAGCGACGTCCATATGTGGTGACTCCATATATCGGGCACCCCTACCGGCCTCTCCGACACGTACAAAGCACCACATTCGAGCAGCCCACCTAGTCGCTTCACCGAACGACGGGTAGCTCGACGACCGAGTGTGCTCGTTTAGAACCGCAAAAAAACCTCTGGATCACCTGGGAAAGACAAAACGTCATCAGTTTCGAGCTACAGAAACTCTGCGTTTTTACTAAACACAAGTCTTACCGCCAGTCCATTCTTCTTTGCGCTTCGTCGGGCCAGTCGCTTCCCTCCGAGACACGTACGTCTGTTCGGAACCACCGAGGTTAGCGAAGGCACGAAACCGTTTCGAGGCTTCCGCAATAAGGGATGACATTTTCCTTACCTTTAACATTAAGCATTGATCCAGAAGGCCCACACACGTCACTTTGCCCACTACAAAAGTGATCGGATGGTTTTTCCTCACAGACGTAACGACGTCAAACAAAACGTGGATGACTTGTACGCACCGTAAACGATATATTGTACGCTCTTTAAAAGACTCACTAGCTCACCTGTTCCCTCCCAAGTAACAGGTTACAAGATGAGTCTCTTGCGCTCGCTCTTCACATTCGCCGTTGAAAAACAAAGACGCACCGACCGTAAGAGACACGCGGCCCGTGGCGTTCGTCCGGTAGGAGAACGTAGATGGACGATTAAGTCGAGCGCGGGCATAAGGAAAACGCATAAGCGGGAAACACGAGTACGATACAAACCGCGTAAGGGCAATTCAATGACGGACGGGATCGCTTCATCTGGTACTCGCGTTTCCCACTTGGGGGAAATATTGGGTGAGCTAGTGAGCATATACCGCTTGTGCGTTAAAGCGGATGTCTCGCAAAGAGCGTCAACTCGCCATCGTCCACCGTTCGCGTAAGGGCGATTCCATGACGGATGTGATCGAACGGTGGACGACGTCAACTTTACGCTCTCGACGACGCATCCGCTTCGAGACACAAACGACACGTGCTCGACAGCTCACCCGTTCCCTCCCAAGTCACGTCTCTCGCGTTCGCTCTTCCAATTTACCACCGAAAACCAATGACGCGACGACCGTGAGAGACACGCGGCCCGTGGCGTTCGTCCGGTAGGAGAACGTACACGGACGATTAAATCGAGCGCGGGCGTAACGAACACACATAAGTGGGAAACGCAAGTACCAGATAAACCGTGTAAGGGCAATTCAACGACAGATGTGATCGCTTTAGCTGCTACTCGTGTTTCCCACTTGTGGCAACCATTGGGTGAGCCAGTGAGCGCATACCGTTCGTGCTCTTTACGAGACATCCACTTTAACACGCAAAGTTGACGTCGTCCACCGTTCGTGTAAGGGCGATTCTATGACGGATGTGATCGAACGGTGGACGACGTCAACTTTACGCTCTCGACGACGCATCCGCTTCGAGACACAAACGACACGTGCTCGACGGCTCACCTGTTCCCTCCCAAGTCACGTCTCTTGCGTTCGCTCTTCCAAAACCAATGACGCGACGACCGTGAGAGACACGCGGCCCGTGGCGTTCGTCCGGTAGGAGAACGTAGACGGACGATTAAATCGAGCGCGGGCGTAACGAAAACACACGAGTGGGAAACGCAAGTACCAGATAAACCGTGTAAGGGCAATTCACTGACGGATGTGATCGCTTCATCCGCTACTTGTGTTTCCCACTTGTGGCAACCATTGGGTGAGCGTATACCGTTCGTGCTCTTCACGAGACATCCACTTTAAGACGCAAAGTCGACGTCGACCACCGTTCGTGTGAGGGCGATTCTATGACGGATGTGATCGAACGGTGGACGACGTCAACTTTCTGCCCTTGAGAAGACATCCACGTTGAGACACAACCGACACGTGCTCGATAGCTCACCCGTTCCCTCCCAAGTAACATTCGCAAGACTCTTACGCTCGCGCTTCGGCATTGCCATTCGTCCGGTAGGAGAACGTAGACGGACGATTATTCACACGACTACGGGATAAACCGCGTGAGGGCAATTCGACGACGGACGTGATCGGCTCATCCGGTACTCGTGTTTCCCGCTTACGGGTGAGCTGTCGAGCGTGTATTCTTTACGCTCTTTACAAGACATCCGCTTCGAGACACAAACTTGACATCGTCCACCGTTCGTGTAAGGGCAATTCAACGAGGGATGTGATCAAACGGTGGACGATATCGACTTTACGCCCTTCACAAAACATCCAGTTTAAGACACAAAGACTACACGCTTAAAAGCTCACCAGCACAAACATACGTTCATATTTATTTAGATATACGTGCGCGATTACGTACGCGTGTAGGTACGTTTATAGGTGCGAGTGCATAATGTGCTTTTATATTTCCGTGTATTTTTTACAATTGCACGCATGTTGATATGTGCTCACATCGTACACGTATTTGCATCACGCGTTTGTGCGTTTCCTTTTAATTTACATACTTTTTTAGGACCCCCGGAAGAATAGCTGCAGCATTGCTGTCGCTAATGGGGATCCTTTCGATAAAACAAACCAAAAAACCCCTTCCCTCCCGAGTAACGTTCACGAGACGCGTCTCTTGCGTTCGCTCCTCAAAGTTGGCGTTGAAAAACAACGACGCGTCCACCGCGACAGAGACGCGGCCCGTGGCGTTCGTCTGGTGGGAGAACAAAGATGGACGATTAAGTCAAGCGCAGGCGTAAGGAAAACACTCCACGGTACGGCAGGAGTCACACACACACACCTTTGCGCTTTCAGTCAGGCACGGTCCCCTCAAATCGCCAAGCAGAATGGATTCCAACGGATCACGGCACGCTTCCACCGAGGCTCCACCGGGTACGGGTTGGCCGCGTGTATCTGGGAAACACAAGTACGAGATAAACGACCGCTCGCGTCGGTCACTGAATTGCTCTTACGCAAACAGTGGACCATATCAACTTTGTGTCTTAAAGTGGAGGACTTGTACAGAACATATGCTTAAGATCAGCCAATAGCTCACCCGTTCCCTCCCGAGTAACGTTCACAAGACGCGTCTCTTGCGTTCGCTCTTCAAATTTGGCGTTGAAAAACAATGACGCAGCCCGTGGCACTCGTCTGGTAGGAGAACATAGATGGACAATTAAGTCGAGCGCAGGCGTAAGAAAAACACTCCACGGTACGGCAGGAGTCACACACACACCTTTGCGCTTTCCGTCAGGCACGGTCTCCTCAAATCACCAAGCAGAATCGATTCGAACGGATCACGGCACGCTTCCACCGAGGCTCGACCGGGTGTGTATCTGGGAAACACAAGCACCACATAAACTGATCACATCCGTCACTGAATTGCTCTTACACAAACAGTGGAAAATATGACATTTGTGTCTTAAAGTGGAGGTCTCGTAAAGAGCATAAACAATATATACTTAACATCAGCCAACAGCTCACCTGTTCCCTCCCGAGTAACATTCACAAGACGCGTCTCTTGCGTTCGCTCTTCAAATTTGCCGTTGAAAAACAATGACGCAGCCCGTGGCATTCGTCTGGTAGGAGAACATAGATGGACAATTAAGTCAAGCACAGGCATATGGAAAACACTGTGACTTCTGCCGTATGACTCGTATTAAGGCACACACACACACACCTTTGCGCTTTGTCAGGCACGGTCTGCTCAAATCACCAAGCAGAATGGATTCGAACGGATCACGGCACGCTTCCACCGAGGCTTCACCGGGTACCGGTTGGCCGTGTGCGTGTATCTGGGAAACATAAGTACCACACAAACTGATCACATCCGTCACTGAATTGCCCTCACACAAACAATGGAAAATATGAAATTTGCGTCTTAAAGTGGATGTCTCGTAAAGAGCACAAACACTACATGCTTAACATCAGCCAATAGCTCACCTGTTCCCTGCCAAGTAACATTCACGAGACGCGTCTCTTGCGTTCGCTCTTCAAATCTGACGTTCCAAAACAATGACGCGTCAACCGCAACGGAGACGCAGCCCGTGGCATTCGTCTGGTAGGAAAACAAAGATGGACAATTAAGTCGAGCAAACACATAAGGAATCAATGACCCCAAGCAGTACGGCAGGAGTCACACAAACCTTTGCGCTTTGTCAGGCACGGTCTCCTCAAATCACCAAGCAGAATGGATTCCAACGGATCGCGGCACGCTTCCACCGAGGCTCGACCGGGTACGGGTTGGCCGTGTGTACCTGGGAAACACAAGTACGACGTAAACGACTCATCACGTCAGTCATCGAATTGCTCTTACACAAACAGTGGACGATATCAACTTTGTGCCTTCAAGTGGAGGTCTCGTAAAGAAAGCTCACCTGTTCCCTCCCGAGTGACATTCACGAGACGCGTCTCTTGCGTCATTGTTTTTCAATGCTACATTCGAAGAGCAAACACGTCAACCGTAAGAGACAAACAGCCTGTGCCGTTCATCTGGTCGTAAATAAAACCCTCGGCTAAACTGTTTATCTGGTACTTATGGGTGAGCTATTAAGCATGCATTCTTTATACTCTTTACAAGACACCCACTTTAAGACACAAAGTCGATATGGTCCACCGTTTCATCACATCCATCATTCAATTGCCCTTACACAAACGGTGGACGATATCAACTTTGTGTCTTAAAGTAGACGACTCGTAAAGAGCATAAACGACACGTGCTCGACAGCTCACCCGTTCCCTCCCGAGTAACATTCACGAGACGCGTCTCTCGCGTTCGCTCTTCAATTTTGCCGTTGAAAAACAATGACGCGTCAACCGCGACAGCCCGTGGCATTCGTCTGGCTGGAAAACATAGATGGAAAATTAAGTCAAGCAAAGACATAAGGAACACTCAACAGTACGGCAGGAATCACACACGCACCTTTGCGCTTTCAGTCAGGCGCGGTCTGCTCAAATCACCAAGCAGAATGGAGTCGAACGGATCGCGGCACGCTTCCACTCAGGCTCGACCGGGTACGGGTTGGCCACGTGTGTGTATCTGGGAAACGTAATCACCACATAAACTGATCACATCCATCATTCAATTGCCCTTACACAAACAGTGGAAAATATGAAATTTGTCTTAAAGTGGACGTCTCGTAAAGAGCGTAAAAAATACGTGCTCGATAGCTCACCTGTTCCCTCCCGAGTAACGTTCACGAGACGCATCTCTCGCGTTCCCTCTTCAACTTTGACCTTGAAAAACAATGACGCGTCAACCGCGACAGAGACGCAGCCCGTGGCATTCGTCTGGCAGGAGAACATAGATGGACGATTAAGTCGAGCAAAGACATAAGGAAAACTCAACAGTACGGCAGGAGTCACTCACACACACCTTTGCGCTTTCGGTCAGGCACGGTCTCCTCAAATCACCAAGCAGAATTCATTCGAACGGATCGCGGCACGCTTCCACCGAGGCTCGACCGGGTACGGGTTGGCCGCGTGTATCTGGGAAACACAAGTACGAGATAAACGACGGATCGCGTCAGCCATCGAATTGCTCTTACACAAACAGTGGACGATATCAACTTTGTGCCTTCAAGTGGATGTCGCGTAAAGAGCGTAAAGAAAGCTCACCTGTTCCCTCCCGAGTGACATTCACGAGACGCGTCTCTCGCGTCATTGTTTTTCAATGCTACATTCGAAGAGCAAACACGTCAACCGTAAGAGAGAAACAGCCTGTGCCGTTCATCCGGTCGTAAGGAAAACCCTCCGCTAAACTGTGTAACTGGATCCCATCAGTTTATCTGGTACTTATGGGTGAGCTATTAAGCATGCATTCTTTATACTCTTTACAAGACACCCACTTTAACGCACAAAGTCGATATGGTCCACCGTTTCATCACATCCATCGTTAAATTGCCCTTACACAAACGGTGGACGATATCGACTTTGTGTCTTAAAGTAGACGTCTCGTAAAGAGCGTAAACGATACGTGCTCGATAGCTCACCCGTTCCCTCCCGAGTAACATCCACGAGACGCGTCTCTCGCGTTCGCTCTTCAATTTTGCCGTTGAAAAACAATGACGCGTCAACCGCGACAGCCCGTGGCATTCGTCTGGCAGGAAAACATAGATGGAAAATTAAGTCAAGCAAAGACATAAGGAAACCTCAACAGTACGGCAGGAGTCACACACACACACACACACACACACACCTTTGCGCTTTCAGTCAGGCACGGTCTGCTCCAATCACCACGCAGAATGGATTCGAACGGATCGCGGCACGCTTCCACCGAGGCTCGACCGGGTACGGGTTGGCCGTGTGTATCTGGGAAACACAAGTACGAGATGAACGACGGATCGCGTCAGTCATCGCATTGCTCTTACACAAACAGTGGACGATATCAACTTTGTGGCTTCAAGTGGATGTCTCGCAAAGAGCGTAAAGAAAGCTCACCTGTTCCCTCCCGAGTGACGTTCACGAGACGCGTCTCTCGCGTCATTGTTTTTCAATGCTACATTCGAAGAGCAAACACGTCAACCGTAAGAGAGAAACAGCCTGTGCCGTTCATCCGGTCGTAAGGAAAACCCTCCGCTAAACTGTGTCACTGGATCCCATCAGTTTATCTGGTACTTATGGGTGAGCCGTCGAGCATGCATTCTTTATGCTCTTTACGCGACACCCACTTTAACGCACAAAGTCGATATGGTCCACCGTTTCATCACATCCATCGTTAAATTGCCCTTACACAAACGGTGGACGATATCGACTTTGTGTCTTAAAGTAGACGTCTCGTAAAGAGCATAAACGATACGTGCTCGATAGCTCACCCGTTCCCTCCCAAGTAACATCCACGAGACGCGTCTCTCGCGTTCGCTCTTCAATTTTGCCGTTGAAAAACAATGACGCGTCAACCGCGACAGCCCGTGGCATTCGTCTGGCAGGAAAACATAGATGGAAAATTAAGTCAAGCACAGGCATAAGGAAAAATCTCAACAATACGGCAGGAGTCACACACACACACACACCTTTGCGCTTTCAGTCAGGCGCGGTCTGCTCAAATCACCAAGCAGAATGGATTCGAACGGATCGCGGCACGCTTCCACCGAGGCTCGACCGGGTACGGGTTGGCCGCGTGTATCTGGGAAACACAAGTACGACGTACACGAGTGATCACATCAGTCATTGAATTGCTCTTACACAAACAGTGGACGATATCAACTTTGTGCCTTCAAGTGGATGTCTCGTAAAGAGCGTAAAGAAAGCTCACCTGTTCCCTCCCGAGTAACATCCACGAGACGCGTCTCTTGCGTTCGCTCTTCAATTTTGCCGTTGAAAAACAATGACGCGTCAACCGCAACAGCCCGTGGCATTCGTCTGGCAGGAAAACATAGATGGACGATTAAGTCAAGCAAAGACATAAGGAAACCTCAACAGTACGGCAGGAGTCACACACACACACACACACACACACACCTTTGCGCTTTCAGTCAGGCACGGTCTGCTCCAATCACCACGCAGAATGGATTCGAACGGATCGCGGCACGCTTCCACCGAGGCTCGACCGGGTACGGGTTGGCCGTGTGTATCTGGGAAACACAAGTACGAGATGAACGACGGATCGCGTCAGTCATCGCATTGCTCTTACACAAACAGTGGACGATATCAACTTTGTGGCTTCAAGTGGATGTCTCGCAAAGAGCGTAAAGAAAGCTCACCTGTTCCCTCCCGAGTGACATTCACGAGACGCGTCTCTCGCGTCATTGTTTTTCAATGCTACATTCGAAGAGCAAACACGTCAACCGTAAGAGAGAAACAGCCTGTGCCGTTCATCCGGTCGTAAGGAAAACCCTCCGCTAAACTGTGTCACTGGATCCCATCAGTTTATCTGGTACTTAAGGGTGAGTCGTCGAGCATGCATTCTTTATGCTCTTTACAAGACACCCACTTTAACGCACAAAGTCGATATTTTCCACCGTTTCATCACATCCATCATTAAATTGCCCTTACACAAACGGTGGACGATATCGACTTTGTGTCTTAAAGTAGACGTCTCGTAAAGAGCATAAACGATACGTGCTCGATAGCTCACCCGTTCCCTCCCGAGTAACATCCACGAGACGCGTCTCTTGCGTTCGCTCTTCAATTTTGCCGTTGAAAAACAACGACGCGTCAACCGCAACGGAGACGCAGCCCGTGGCATTCGTCTGGCAGGAGAACAAAGATGGACGATTAAGTCAAGCACAGGCATAAGTAAAACACTCAACGGTACGGCAGGAGTCACACACACACACCTTTGCGCTTTCAGTCAGGCACGGTCTGCTCAAACCACCAAGCAGAATGGATTCGAACGGATCACGGCACGCTTCCACTTAGGCTCGACCGGGTACGGGTTGGCCACGTGTGTGTGTATCTGAGAAACATAATTACCACATAAACTGATCACAGCCATCATTCAATTGCCCTTACACAAACAGTGGACGATATCAACTTTGTGCCTTCAAGTGGATGTCTCGTAAAGAGCGTAAAGAAAGCTCACCTGTTCCCTCCCGAGTAACATCCACGAGACGCGTCTCTTGCGTTCGCTCTTCAATTTTGCCGTTGAAAAACAATGACGCGTCAACCGCAACAGCCCGTGGCATTCGTCTGGCAGGAAAACATAGATGGACGATTAAGTCAAGCAAAGACATAAGGAAACCTCAACAGTACGGCAGGAGTCACACACACACACACACACACACACACACACACATTTGCGCTTTCAGTCAGGCACGGTCTGCTCCAATCACCACGCAGAATGGATTCGAACGGATCGCGGCACGCTTCCACCGAGGCTCGACCGGGTACGGGTTGGCCGCGTGTATCTGGGAAACACAAGTACGAGATGAACGACGGATCGCGTCAGTCATCGCATTGCTCTTACACAAACAGTGGACGATATCAACTTTGTGGCTTCAAGTGGATGTCTCGCAAAGAGCGTAAAGAAAGCTCACCTGTTCCCTCCCGAGTGACGTTCACGAGACGCGTCTCTCGCGTCATTGTTTTTCAATGCTACATTCGAAGAGCAAACACGTCAACCGTAAGAGAGAAACAGCCTGTGCCGTTCATCCGGTCGTAAGGAAAACCCTCCGCTAAACTGTGTAACTGGATCCCATCAGTTTATCTGGTACTTATGGGTGAGCCGTCGAGCATGCATTCTTTATGCTCTTTACGCGACACCCACTTTAACGCACAAAGTCGATATGGTCCACCGTTTCATCACATCCATCGTTAAATTGCCCTTACACAAACGGTGGACGATATCGACTTTGTGTCTTAAAGTAGACGTCTCGTAAAGAGCATAAACGATACGTGCTCGATAGCTCACCCGTTCCCTCCCAAGTAACATCCACGAGACGCGTCTCTCGCGTTCGCTCTTCAATTTTGCCGTTGAAAAACAATGACGCGTCAACCGCGACAGCCCGTGGCATTCGTCTGGCAGGAAAACATAGATGGAAACTTAAGTCAAGCACAGGCATAAGGAAAAATCTCAACAATACGGCAGGAGTCACACACGCACCTTTGCGCTTTCAGTCAGGCACGGTCTGCTCAAATCACCAAGCGGAACGGATTCGAACGGATCACGGCACGCTTCCACTTGGGCTCGACCGGGTACGGGTTGGCCGCGTGTGTGTATCTGGGAAACATAATCACCACATAAACTCATCACATCCATCATTCAATTGCCCTTACACAAACAGTGGAAAAATATGAAATTTGTCTTAAAGTGGAGGTCTCGTAAAGAGCATAAAGAATACGTGCTCGATAGCTCACCTGTTCCCTCCCGAGTAACATTCACAAGACGCGTCTCTTGCGTTCGCTCTTCAACTTTGACCTTGAAAAACAATGACGCGTCAACCGCGACAGAGACGCAGCCCGTGGCATTCGTCTGGCAGGAGAACATAGATGGACGATTAAGTCAAGCAAAGACATAAGGAAAACTCAACAGTACGGCAGGAGTCACACACACACACACACACACCTTTGCGCTTTCAGTCAGGCACGGTCTGCTCAAATCACCAAGCAGAATTCATTCGAACGGATAGCGGCACGCTTCCACCGAGGCTGTGCACACAGCCTGTGCCATTCATCCGGTCATAAGGAAAACGGACAACTAAGCCCTCAGCGGTACGGCAGGAGTCACACACACACACACACACCTTTGCGCTTTCAGTCAGGCACGGTCTCCTCAAATCACGGCACACTTCCACGGGTTGGCCGCGTGTATCTGGAAAACAAAAGTACGAGATAAACGACCGATCACATGCGTCATTCAATTGCCCTCACCATCTTTTAGACTAACTCACCTCCACCACGACCGTATTTAAAAGCGGTCATTCAACTTCACGTTTCACACGGACAAAGCTCTGAAATCACCTGCAAAGACCCAAACAAACTCACATCTATTGCAGAATGCGTTCGAAGACGCTGGCTTCAACCGAGGATCACCACTTCCCCACAAAAGCAGACACCAAACAGATCCAAACCTTGCCTTTTTAAACAGCCCAGCCAGCTGCAGCCACTGACGAGTAGGAGGAGTTCCAAGATCCAATCAGCCGTCGAAACACCAATCAGCTGCCGAAATGATTACGGAAGCCACGTTACCTGTAACACAACAACCGCAAGCAACGCCCCAAAACTAATCACTAATCATAAATCTCTATTAATAGACGTCATAATGAATTCCAACCCATCAAGTCCATCATATCCGACTGGCGTTTCATTTCATTCACTTCATTGTCTGCTCGGTACTTGACACAAATTCATCTTTGACGCCGTTGTCCCAAATCGTTCTATGTAGGCCGCATCTGGTTCGCGCACACATCTCAAAAATGTAAATGTACAATTCCCATCACAAACACAATTGGATTCTTACAAAATACATGGCTTTACCCCATTTGGTCCTGCCGCTGAAATAACTCCCTTTTTCATCCATACGTCAAGTCACATATATTTATATAATACAGATTCAATCAATCAATCAATCGAGACAACATCACAGTGTTTGTTTATTCGTAAAAACAAAAAAACACACACACACTCAAGATTGGTATGACGTTATGATGAGCGATGGTGTCCTAAAATCTCCTGAAGATCTGTTCGATAGACTGGAGCTAAACCATTTGCAGCTTTAGAAGTCAAAAGCAATACCTTGCAATTAATACGGTGGAAAAAGGCTGTTTTTTAACGTATGAAATATGCTTTTCAAAAACACTTTCCAAAAACACGTTTCTGGTCCACTGCGGGAGATGCCGATGCTTTATTTCTGACGCGTGCAAAGTACCACGAATCGATGTCACAAACAAATAACTCAAGTTTATTCAATCAAAAATAAAGATGCATCGTAACATAAAACAAATCACTTTTAGGCCAATCGCTGGTTTGTGGCACCGTGCCACTCTCGCTCCACGTGCACGGCTCTTGCACCAGCGCCCCTCTCCGGGCTGTCGGCGGGGGTGGCCTATCGTTTATCCAAACTTTCCCCCTCTCACACACAATTGACTGATATTTAAATGAACGAGTTGAATATTTTTTCATATAAAAACAGTACAGACGGTAGAATATGTTAACAATATAATCCATTTATTTTAAACGCATGTTCTTATTATAACGCATAAAATAAAAACATTGTAAAAACACAATACCGAATAAATAATTACAACTGTAATCAATAAATAACTCAAAATATATACTATAAATATAATAAATGAATGAATGAATAAATAAATAAATAATCAATCAATCTCATCATGCATAGGTCTCATCCTTGCCTTACTCTTAACTCATCTCTGGTGATATGCAACAAAGCGCTGGTTTTTGTACAACAACTTCCCATCTCCACGTTTGGAACGTCGCCAACGCGACACTCCACTTTTGCGCAAGTTGCACCTCCCTCTCCGAGTGCCAAATGCAGGCCGGTGTCCGACGCCGTCGCGTCGGACTTCCTGGGTGGGGTGGAGAACTCGGGGGTTGGGGCGACGGACTTGTGGCTTGCGCTTCGCACCTGGGGGTCGGCCGACCCCGGCGGGTACCTCGTCGGCTCCCTTCGACGTAGCCGCCACCGACAGACGGGACTTCTTCAAGGGCATCGGTTTCTGTTTGAGAATGCTGCGGCGGTCCCTTTTGTACACGAGCCATGCGCAAAACCGCTTCGCTGCGACGACTCCCTCCGACGAACGGAAATCGACAAAACCTCGGCCTCGCTTCACCGTCTCCTTATCGCTCGTCAATGTCGCGCCACCTGAAAGACGTGGAAATTTGTTTTCACGATAACACTAATATAACACCTATAACAAACGGAAGGTAGCAGTCTATCTGCATCGGAAGAAAAATGTGTGTGTGCGTGCACGGTTCGATTTGGTCGTGATTGTGCAACTGACACGATTAACGTATTTACCGAAAGCGCATTACCTGCACGATTTACCCTGACGGTACCCACGCTTCTCAGTCCCGGGTTGGTGCGCAGCGTCTTCACCGAGTTGAAGCTGGTAAAGAAGTTGTCGTAGAACACCGCAGTTGCCTCTTTGCGTACTGCGATAGTGTTGCGGAGTATCGAGACAACCTCGGCGCCGAGGAGGAGGTCTTTCGAGCCCGGATGTGCACGCTCTTCCTCTTGAATGTCGAAGACCGTTGCGGACCCTCGGTACGATATGAAGTCGTGGAGGACGCCAGAGTCACTGCCACGACAGAAGATCTCAAACCCCCACTTGTCCGGCTCGTTCTGAATGCACTGCCCGAGTTTGCCAGCTCTGGTGCCGCCCTTGTAAGCCGCCGGCACTTCATCGACACTTTGCCTGTTGGTAGGTGGAATAAGGAGGCGTTGTTCTTTGGTCAAAAAGAGGGCGCGTCTCACGGAAGCGGTCAGGGCAGCCCTCCAGCTGGAAGTCGTCGTTGAAGCGGACGTATCTTCGGAGCGGTTCGAAGCGCTTCACCGACGCGGTATCCGCGGCCACCGGCGGGAAGCGTGACTCGCAGGCCCGGTCATCTTCCAAAGAGGGAAATTCAAAAACACCCGCGTAGAGCAAAACTGACGAGAAAACCTCCATTTCTGCGGCGGCGGTGTTGACGGATGTCCCGGTCCATCTGGGGTGTCCATAAAATGTACGGCAGTCCGTCGTGTCTGAAAGAGATGGAACGTAGTAAACGTTACTGTACAGTGTAGGGTCGCAAACTGTGTCTTCAGTGCATCAGGTACATCTATCCGTAATAAATGCACAATGGTCATATTGATAAACTGTTCACCCAACATACACCGATAAAAATAATCTGCTTGATTTACTTACAAAACATAATGAATTTTTTTGCATGCCTTTATTACGTAGATCCAACAAGACAAGTCTTTGTAGAAACTACTTAATTTTTCTGTTTGTTGAACTAGAATTTTCACATAAAGTTAACTTAATTTTAGCATCGCTCTAGTAATTTATTTATTTATGTGTGTGATCTACATAACTTTAAGAGTTCTGAATGAGTAATTTTGATTGAATCCAACAAGCTTTTTACATTTCCATATTACAAATTTCAAGTGGGATCTATTTTTTTTTTTTTCATGTTACTGTATTTTAAAGTTACATTTACTCATTATTCTAAAACGTACTTTTTTTTACTGAAACTATAAATGCAAATAGTTATTTTTTACTACTACTACTACTACTACTACTACTACTATGAGAGTCTGCTCACTGATATTTTTACAGGGTGATCGTGAACATACAGTGGAGTAAAAACCAAAATAAAACACATTCAAGAAAATATAAATCATTTTCTCTGTTCTCATTATCACTTCACAAATACAGAAAAGTATAATCTTGAATAACCATCATTTTACATCATTAAATGAAACACTGAAAATGAGCACAGACCCTAAATGGCACGGTTACACGGATCAGCGCGTGCGAGCGCGTGTGCCGACACGCGAGTTAGGGCTAACACTCAAATTAACTAACATAACTTCACACAGAACGCGACAGATCTGAATAAAACATACCTGGGACAAACACCGACAAAGGCAGGTTAACATAATGCATCATAATGAGAATAAATACGTAGCGGACCTCGTCTCACACCACAAAGCACTCAACGACACCACTGGCTTCGGTGGACCGCGTCTGCAGTTTATTGAAAGAGGACAGAAAATCAACACACTCCTTCAGGGTTTACTCTCTCTTAGTCTCAGCCTCGGACGTCACGCCCACGGAACGTTGGCTAAACGTCTGATGCATATGGTACACTTAACTGGAAACACTTCAGGAATGTCGAAGTCGTCACCTGATTGGTTGAATTTTATCGGATTTCCGGGGGGCGTCAGTGTCGCGTTTATTTTCGGTCCGCCGGGAAACAAAGCGCACAAGTGTGATTGCGGAAGAAAAACTGTTGTGTTTATGAGTGACAATGAGCATTAATCAAGATCAGCTAAACGTAGTTGTATGTCCCCTCCTATCAATTATGGAAGATCAAGTGAAGTACTTAATTGCGAAGGGGATATCAGCCGCGTTTGTGGGCAAACATGAAACAACAGACGCTGACATCGCAGCTGGCCGAGATTCAGTATTCGGGCGCACACTGGATTATAAGGTGCATAAGATACTGCAGAGTCAAACGTTTGACTGCGAGTATTCAATGTCGCTGACAGCTAACGTTACAGCTGGCTGTTTTGAATGAGACGAGCCGGTTACTGTGAACGGGGAGCGCTTTATGAACATAACTGTGACGCACGAGCAGCGCCGGGGACAGTGTATCTGAGTGAGCGCTCGTGAGCACGTGATTTACACACATAACCTGATTTATACGAGGTTGAACTGGCCGTGTGACAAAGCGGGCATAAGATGGACATGAGCGCGAGTTCGTGGGTGAATTTAATAACGCGGACCGTTGTTAACGAGCGCCTCCGGTGACTGCTGCTGACTGACTTGTTGCACGCCGGTCTGATGTTGTGGGGACATTTCGACGCCCCGAAACGTGACGCTGAATGAAACGAACTGTAATTGGTTGTTTGACATGTCGGTCAAACGGCCTTATGGGCGGGCCTTGGCCAAAGAAAGCTGCTGTGAATTCCAGACCTTCAACGAGGCTGACTCCAGCTCCTTTTTCGCCAGCTCCTTATTCGCCGAACTATACGTTCCACCTTAAAAAATGTTGGATGGTTGTTAACCCCTCCCCTCGGTGCTTTTGGCGTTTTTCTTAAAGGAACAGTAGAATGGAAGTCTGTTGATCGGGCAGCATTTGTCAAGAAAGGAGAAAAGTGACATTATGTTTCTAACTGAGAATTAATGTTATGTATATTATATTCTTTTTTTAGAAGCTATCCATTACTCCAGTCTAATATATATGTATGTATATATATATATATATATATATATATATATATATGCAAATAGTCTAATATATATATATATATATATATATATAAATATATATATATACATACATAATGAATATGTATGTTTATATATATATATATATATATATATATATATATACATAAATAATGAATATGTATGTATATATATATATATATATATATACAGTATATACACACACATATATATAATAGACTGGAGTAATGGATAGCTTCTAATAAAGAAAATAAATTACATGACATTAATTCTCAATTGCAAACATAATGAAAAAAAAAAACCTGGAATGCAGGTATAGATAAATTCATTATTAAACGAAATCCTGCATTACAACATTTTCTGATGTGTTATTGTTGAAATACGACACCCAGAACATGGCCCACCATCGCAACTATATGTGCCAACAGACCATATTGGAGGTGTTATTTCTTTATTTTTTCCAAAGTTCTCAAAAAAAGGGGAACGTAGGGGTATAAATCAATCCGTTCTTAAACCAAATCCTGCATTACAACATTTTCTGATGTGTTATTGTTGAAATACGACACCCAGAACATGGCCCACCATCGCAACTATATGTGCCAACAGACCATATTGGAGGTGTCATTTCTTTATTTTTTCCAAAGTTCTCAAAAAAAAGGGGAACGTAGGGGTATAGATCAATCCATTCTTAAACCAAATCCTGCATTACAACATTTTCTGATGTGTTATTGTTGAAATATGACACCCAGAAAATGACTCGTCATTGAAACTATATGTGCCGACAGACCATATTGGAGGTGTCATTTCTTAATTTTTTCAAAAGTTCTCAAAAAAAGGGGAAGGTAGAGGTATAGATCAATCCATTCTTAAACCAAATCATGCATTGCAACATTTTTTGATGTGTTATTGTTGAAATACGACACCCAGAACATGGCCCACTATTGAAACTATATGTGCCAACAGACCATATTGGAGGTGTTATTTCTTTATTTTTTCAAAACTTCTCAAAAAAAGGCGAACGTACAATTATAGATCAATACGTTCTTAAACCAAATCATGCATTACAACATTTTCTGATGTGTTATTGTTGAAATACGACACCCAGAACATGGCCCACCATCGCAACTATATGTGCCGACAGACCATATTGGAGGTGTTATTTCTTTATTTTTTCCAAAGTTCTCAAAAAAAGGGGAACGTAGGGGTATAGATCAATCCATTCTTAAACCAAATCCTGCATTACAACATTTTCTGATGTGTTATTGTTGAAATACGACACCCAGAACATGGCCCACCATCGCAACTGTATGTGCCGACAGACCATATTGGAGGTGTTATTTCTTTATTTTTTCAAAACTTCTCAAAAAAAGGCGAACGTAGAATTATAGATCAATCCGTTCTTAAACCAAATCATGCATTACGACATTTTCTGATGTGTTATTGTTGAAATATGACACCCAGAACATGGCCCACCATCGCAACTATATGTGCCGACAGACCATATTGGAGGTGTTTTTTCTTTATTTTTTCAAAACTTCTCAGAAAAAGGCGAACGTAGAATTATAGATCAATCCGTTCTTAAACCAAATCATGCATTACGACATTTTCTGATGTGTTATTGTTGAAATATGACACCCAGAACATGGCCCACCATCGCAACTATATGTGCCGACAGACCATATTGGAGGTGTTATTTCTTTATTTTTTCCAAAGTGCTCAAAAAAAGGGGAACGTAGGGGTATAGATCAATCCGTTCTTAAACCAAATCCTGCATTACAACATTTTCTGATGTGTTATTGTTGAAATACGACACCCAGAACATGGCCCACCATTGCAACTGTATGTGCCGACAGACCATATTGGAGGCGTCCTTTCTTAATTTTTTTCAAAAGTTCTCAAAAAAAGGGGAACGTAGAGGTATAGATAAATCCATTCCTAAACCAAATCCTGCATTACAACATTTTCTGATGTGTTATTGTTGAAATGTGACACCCAGAAAATGACTCGTCATTGAAACTATGTGCCAACAAAGAATACTTGAGGTGTCATTTCTTTATTTTTTCAAAAGTTCTCAAAAAAAGGGGAACTTAAAGGTATAGATAAATCCATTCTTAAACCAAATCCTGCATTTCAACATTTTCTGATGTGTTATTGTTAAAATATGACACCCAGAAAATGGCCCACCATTGAAACTATATGTGCCCGCAGAGCATACTGGAGGTGCCATTTCTTTATTTTTTCAAAAGTTCTCAAAAAAAAGGGGAACGTAGGGGTATAGATCAATCCGTTCTTAAACCAAATCCTGCATTACAACATTTTCTGATGTGTTATTGTTGAAATATGACACCCAGAACTTGGCCCACCATTGCAACTATATGTGCCGACAGACCATATTGGAGGTGTAATTTCTGAATTTTTTCAAAAGTTCTCAAAAAAAAAGGGGACCGTAGAGGTATAGATCAATCCATTCTTAAACCAAATCCTGCATTTCAACATTTTCTGATGTGTTATTGTTGAAATATGACACCCAGAATATGACTTGCAATTGAAATATGTGCTAACAGAGCATACTGGAGGTGTCATTTCTTTATTTTTTCAAAAGTTCTCAAAAAAAGGGGAACAGATAAATCCATTATTGAACGAATTTTATGAATGACAACATTTTCTGATGTGTCATTGTTGAAATATGGTACCCAGAACATGCAACTGTATGTGAAATATGACTTTATCATTTCACAAGTTCTTCAAAAAAAAAAAAAGTAATATCGGCACCTATATGTGCTCGGTTTTTTTTTTTTGTTTTTTTGTTTTTAAGTTTTTTGTTTTTTGGAGAACTTATGAAATAATAAAGTATGAGTATGCTTGTCGGCACATAAAGTTGGATGTTCTGGGTACCATAGTTCAAAAATAACACATCACAAAATGTTGTAAAGCAGGATTTCGTTTAAGAATGAATTTATCTATACATCTACATTCTCGTTTTTTTCAGAACTTTTGAAAAAATTAAGAAATGACACCTCCAGTATGCTCGGCACATATAGTTTCAATGGTGGGGCATGTTCTGGGTGTCATATTTCAACAATAACACATCAGAAAATGTTGAAATGCAGGATTTGGTTTAAGAATGGATTTATCTATACCCCTACGTTCCCCTTTTTTTGAGAACTTTTGAAAAAATAAAGAAATGACACCTCCAGTATGCTCTGTTGGCACATATAGTTTCAATGGCGACTCATTTTCTGGGTGTCATATTTCAACAATAACACATCAGAAAATGTGATAATGCAGGATTTTGTTTAAGGATGGATTTATCTATACCTCCACGTTCCCCTTTTTTTGAGAACTTTTGAACAAATAAAGAAATGACACCTCCAGTATGCTCTGCGGGCACATATAGTTTCAATGGAGAGTCATTTTCTGGGTGTCATATTTCAACAATAACACATCAGAAAATGTGATAATGCAGGATTTTGTTTAAGGATGGATTTATCTATACCTCCACGTTCCCCTTTTTTTGAGAACTTTTGAAAAAAATGAAGAAATGACACCTCCAGTATGCTCTGTCGGCACATATAGTTTCGATGGTGGGGCACGTTCTGGGTGTCGTATTTCAACAATAACACATCAGAAAATGTTGAAATGCAGGATTTGGTTTAAGAACGGATTTATCTATACCTCCACGTTCCCCTTTTTTTGAGAACTTTTGAAAA